CCTCCTCCTCCTCCTTCTCTTTATTCTCTTTCCTCTTGCGTTTCATCAATTAATTGGTTTGTCATTTGTCTTGTGCCCCAGACTCCTGAGATGACCCAGTGGGCAGTAGCTACTAGGTAACCGAGATGTAGCCAAAGCCAAATTCAGCTGGGCTCCACTGTTTCTCTGCATTTTCTGCCAAAGGTACGTCTATTTTGAGCCACCGCGATAGCCTTCACCGAGGTAGCAGAACAAAGACTCTTTACCTTGCCTTGCGTCAATGCGCGCTAGTCTACTCATAAACCACGCGACTCAGGCGCTGACAAATCCTATTGGTCGGCCAGCCAGACACGGTGCAGTGCGCGTCGGCTCGGATGCACGTGCCGAAGGTTGCAGACTGCTCACCGCGTGATTGGCACTGCTGACTACAGGAGTAAAAACATCAGACATGGGTACATCTGAGGTCAAACTGTTTTGCAGTACAGGCGTCCCGCTCAACACTTTTGCATTCAGCGACTACTTCATGTGTTGTTGTGCTGCAAATCTACGCCAGCAGCTCATCGACTTCCCTTCCGGAGTGTACATTTACCCCCGCCACGACTATTTAACAAAAACAAAAATCGGCACCTGTCAGCGCTGCATACATATCGTGGTAGGATGAAGCAGACTAGAGGAAAATCAGGGAAATTCAGACAGCCAGAAAATTTGAAAATAATATATGCTTGCAAGAAATACGGACTATAGTGAGGCTTCATTCGTGTGAGCTACTACTTTATGCTGTTGCAGAGAAGAACACTTGATCACCGTAACGGTAGTTGTACTAGCATGGGCCCTAGGACAGGGGACTATCAAAGCACAAGAACAACTGAGCAGTTTTGTCTTTTGACAATGGTGGCAGTGGGAAGGGGGAGAGGAGGGGGTGGGCTGTGTCCATGGCTAGGCTGGAGTCACGCCTTCTGACTTACAGCGGTCTCACGGTGCGATGGCAGTGTGTTCCCTTGGCTGGGAACTAGGCCGTACCATGTGGGCTTTAGACCCTCTTGTACTGACGTCCGCAGTAAGTTAGGTTTCAGGCTGCTGCTGCCGCCGCTGCCGCCGCCGCCGCCGCCGCCGCTGATCTCCTTCCTCGTCTTCTTCTTCTTCTTCTTCTTCTTCTTCTTCTTCTTCTTCTTCTTCTTCTTCTTCTTCTTCTTCTTCTTCTTCTTCTTCTTCTTTACCCAACACATCTGCTTCCTTTAAGCCGCCATCGCTTGTGCTGAGACGGCTGTGTTCAACATTTATGACACACGCTTATTCCCCAGCTTAGTAACAACCTCTTTTTATGAATGCACAGGAAAGGGTTTCTGTCAGACCTGCAACAACTTTCCATCCCTAAAGTAAGCACTCAAAGAGCATCACAAACAGCCCTCGTATGGTGTTCTCAAGGGGAGTAACCAGCCAGTATGATTGGAAATCTCCAGACTGAAGGCCCTGCTTGTCAGTCAGCTTCCGGGGTATTCCTCTTTGTCCACTTTTCTTGTTATCCCCCGCTCTAACGTGGAATTAAAAAGTCTCAAACTTGACGTTGAACAAAGAGCCTTCTTTCTGAGTGCTGCTGTCCACTTTGGCACACTCGCTTGACTTATATCCGCTCCTAGTGAGTTCACTCTACCCAGAGAAGGGGTACGGACAAAGACTATGGGACTGGGATGGCCCTTTCTGGCTAATTAGTCGTCTTCAGCCGGCCATATCCAACCGCAGATCTGGATGACCTGAAATTCTAACCCGGATTCTTTGGTTATCGAGCGTTAAGTAGTCCAACGCTCTACCATTGAGCCACGAGCTCGTTGTCCTGTTACCTGCTGGCTCATAATTATCAGCAAGTACATTTTGTCATTGTCAGTGACTGTACTTAAGAAGCACCTTGAAAAATTCAGGGTCAAACTGCTGTTAGATCAGGTAGTGTCACGCTGCCTCTCTCTCTCTCTCTCTCTCTCTCTCTCTTTCTCTCTCT